CCTGGACCGAAGAGCTACTAAGCAAGAGTTTCGGAAGTTAGTTTCAGAGAGCGTGTCTGCCTATTCCAGGCCACGTTGTGCTGTGATTATTAGCAACAGCAGCGTTGATGTGTTCTCGCCTTTAGGCTTGTCTCGCCGGTTACTATAGACCAGAGCTCTTCCTGCTCGTTAAGCATTCTGTGAGCCTTTAGGCTAACCTACCACACCCTGAAATTATTAATTGTTACGTATTTCTGTTAAGCCGGATGTGTTGGCTTCCTGTAATCCAAGTTGGGTCATTTGCTAATTTTGTGTTCGAATAAAAGGGTCTTATATACCCTTCTTCTGATCTCTGTTTAGTTTCATAAAGGCTAGAAGATAACTCTTTAAGAGTTTAAAAGTTTACGTTTGCAAACCGACATAGACTTTTCAAAATTACCATTCGGCATCATTATAGACTGACGATGGCGTTCTAGTGACTAATATGCAGCATTTCTGTCTCAGAAATAAGAAAAGATACAGAAAAATGATAAATTAGGGAAATGTACAACATTACGCTACAGTTATATATTGATATTTTACAGAAAAAATGGCGCAAATCTTTTTGTTACCATTGTAGTAAAATAGAATGGCATGAAGTGACACCACTCCTAGAAATAAAGCTAAAGATTTAAAGTGGGCAACCATTTTTGTTCGTCAGAAATTCATGTTGTGTGCCATGTTAAAAGTTATCGAGCGAAGAATATTGAGAAATGGAACTCGAGTTCGATGAAACTGGACAAAACGGAGTTATGCTTCTTGTCTGATGAAGATTCTGTACATTGTATCCTATAAATACTATTCTTGCGTGTGTATGTGTTTGTAATGGGTTAAATGCAGTTATTTAAGGGCCGGATATGGTTGCATATTAATTACAGTTATTCAATTACAGTACCACTTACAGTTGCGCAGGGTCCGGAACAAAATGGTCGCTTAGTCTGGCGCCTTTTGAAGATTTCTCGCCGGGTTTGGCGACCAAAAATTAAGCGCTGAAACAATCGCGACCTTGGCGGTATTTCGCCAGTTTAGCGAGGTAGCTATTTACCTCAATGTTAAATAGACTTGTCCCTGTAATCTTGTTTTTCAGGCAGAACATTGTCTCTTTAGACTTTTTATGTTATATTACACAAAAGATATGCAATTTCATTAAACTTATTTACTTATATACAAAATTCGTTGCACTACGTTTGCGTTAAATGAGATTTTCATATTTTACTTTTAATACTCTACTTGCTCCATTATTTTTCTGCAAAATATCTTTTCCTCATAATTTAGTGATGCATTCTTACATTCTAATTTACATTTTTCTGAGAGAATATTGCTCACTTCCAAATTTACCTCAACAATGCTGTTGTCTATTTCATCTGGTAGCGCATGGTCTTTTTATTAAACTAATACTATATTTCCATAGCTATAATAGCCTCCCAGGGACAAGCGGTAAATTCCTTGAACACTGGTAGTTCGACCCCCGGTTCAAATCCCAGCGAATGGGCTGGCTGCATGGGAGCTTTCGTTGTTTTTCGACGTGTAAAGTGAATGCGAGCCATTTTAACTTAGAAAGTCCTCTATGAAGTCGTGCTTCCCTTCGCTTTGGCAGGTAACCTTCGAGGGTTTTACCATAACCTAAATAACGCAATCGAATTCAAACTATAGCTATTATAAAATACACGATTAGCTAATAATAGCCAGCTACTTTTGTCAATATTTGTCTGAATGACTGAGAATTCAGTGGATCCTTGTATACAGGGTGTCCCTCTGATTGATGTTACAGCATTTCGCGGTTTGCAGTTACAGTTTTCCGAAATAAAATTGAATCCAAACTGAGAGAATAAAATTTTAACAAACTTAGTGGACATTCAAAAATAAAAAAAAAGTTCGGAAAAAAAAATTGGTTGTTGGAAATTTAATATTGCAGTTTAGATTTATTTTAGTTTCTCTCTCTCTCTCTATTATTTTTATTCCCTATCTTTCTGTCTACTTACCTGCTTATCTATCTAACTGTCTACGCATGCAACAAAAATTTAGATGTGGTGACAAAGAAATGATACAGCAAGTGGATAAAGACACACTTGCAAACACAGACGATTTATTCTTAACAAAACACACGTAAAACAAACATACACAGCTACGCCGATGCAAGATACATGCTCATTCTGTAAAAATTACATTTGTGGTTTTCATATATTCATTTCTTCATATTTTTCAAATATTTGATATAAGAAAAGTAAGCAGAGCCATGTTCACAGAACGGAGATGTATTCTCCCGCCTTCTCTTAGCATGCTCTCGTGGTGTAGTGGTCAGCATACCCGGCGCGTAGTCGAGAGGTCCGTGGTTCGAGTCCTGGCGAGGGCATTGCTCAGTTTTCATCTCACCTGCTTTCAAAATGTACCTAATCTCTCTACAGTGGCGCCTGAGCTAAAAAAAGTGGTGGATGATGATTCTCCACCGCCAGGATTTGGTGATTGTGTTCTCTAATCTCCAGTTGAGCTTTAAAAGGAGAAATATATAAGGTATTTTTCCAGCTTTCTTAACATGCCTTCGGGGTGAAATGGTCAGCACGCTCGGCGCGAATTCGAGAGGTCCGAGGTTCGAGTCCCTGCGAGGGCATTGATCATGTTACACGTCTCTTAGCATCAAAAAGCCTAATGTCTCTACAATGTAATGCATAAATTATAACTTCAAGGTTTGCCTAAGAATTATATAGTTATGAGTTCACATTATTCCTATTCAATAATTATGGTTTGGTTTGAAAATTTGAATAATATTATTGGATGAACCGTAAGTACATGAGCGTTATATGAGAATCATGACAAGGGTTAATTTTGAAACGACGCAATTTAGAGAGATTTATGACATGCATGTCATAATATGCATGAAAAGAAGTATACTGTAAACGAAGCACCAGCAAGGAAGCCTAAAGCAAGTGGAAACTGCGTAATGTCACACAGTGATTTCGGAAATTGGAGAGTAATCCACAAGACATCTCGATTTTATAATAATTGTGAATTCTATGCAATTTTTGTTAGCAAAAAAAGTGCTAATTATAACTCGAAACAGAAGATTTGAGTTTACTACATAGCTATTAAATTGAATAACATATTGTATGTAAACAATCATAAGAAATTTAGTTAACACCTAAATGTATATGAACAATATCTGATTTATGTGCAAGTGATGCTAAAGAGAATTGAGATATAAAAATAGACTTTAGAACTTATGCACTTCTCATCCTTAAATAAGTACAAGTACGAGATAATTTACTTTCCAAATAACCCAAAATGTCGCAGATTTTAGACAGTAGGAACGAAAAAAACAAAAATCGGACACTTGAGTTAGTTTATAAAATTTAAGAGAGTAATTGACATTGAAATGATATTCAAAAACTGTTCTCTAAAATAGCTTAACACTCTAGGGCTGTTCGCGTAAACGCCCAACGTCAGTAACAGTTACAGACTACTAATGATATACTATTTTTATGTCTATTCATGAAACTTACCATAAAGGACAAAGAGTAATATTATTTTATGGAGTTATTTTAACCATATACGAGGAAATTAGGCTATTAAATATCAATTATTGCATTAACACAAAATATCATTTTATAAATAATTTTTCATTTTCTGCTTAGCTGTATCTACCCATGAAACTACACATTTTTAAAAGCTTCTGCTATAAAGTAGTCGAATGTTTATCAGTCATTGATGTTTAAAACCTTAAACAAGTTTGTTTAATTTCCATTACCGCAGTTAAAAGAAAGTTTATTACGTGTAATAAAGTAAATATAATGAAAGTTTGACTCTTATAATACATTTTTAACGATAATTTCTAAAGATCTAATTAAAGCAATTTCTTATATTAAAATCAAATTTTATCAAAAGTAAATTAAAAAAAAATATTTTTTGCACTACTAAACTAAATGAGAAAATGTTTGCACAAAGTACATTAAAAAGGAAAACCGAGATAAATTAGTATGTGTAACTATTACTTCTATGATATAATTTATAAATATACTTAAAACTAAGAAGTATTTAAATGTAAATAACTTTGAATACATATACCAAATTTAATATCATCAAAATAAAGGCAAGATCTATGATTACCGAATGAACGTATTATTATGTGTATGTGTGTGTATCTATCTATCTATCTCTTTCTATATATATGTCATAATAAAAGCACAAGGAAAGACGGAACACTGTAGATGCGTGATTAGACCCATATTGAAGAAGAATTTGATTGCGTAGTATGCTAGTAATGCTAACTTTGTAATATCTAAAGAACTTGGCAGTCGAGGCAGTTTTAAGTCGAGGCAACTGATATTTGTGGCCACAATCACTTGGTACTCTAGTCGTGCCTTTCCACAGAAGATTTACATTTTTGATATTGTTGAGATAGAAAGCAAGCCAGCGAAATTACATCTTAGCACAGTAGAGAGCAAAAGCTGAAGTGCGTAGTTATGAAGGATGGAAGCACGGCGAAGAGAAAAGTTTTGGTTTACAAAGGCAGTTTCAGTTTCCAATTATTACGTCATCAGAATTGCGCGGGCCATATAGTGATCTAGAAATGACGCAATGCAGAGAAGTTATTACGATTTTAGTATTGAGAGGAAGAATTAATGTTTATAATTTAAACTATAATTCTGATTCATATATTTTTTCTTACATATTTCCCCCCTTCAAAAAGAAAAAGGCGTAGCGACAGAGAAGCCTTTTTAAAGAGAAAGAGTTAAAGCACTAGTAACTTCATCTGGAAAAAATCATCTGCTCTAAAATAAAATAAAGATATGCTGTTAAAAGTGAAAAGTCCTGAGTCGTCATTTTTCTCCGTGGTGCAATCATCCCAGCTTCGTCAACCATCTGCCAAAACGTGAAATGGAATAGCCTCACCATTCACCCACGATGTGTTGGAATAACTGAAAACATTACATATATATACATAAAATCCCATGCACATGTATATAATATTTTAATGAGAAGTTTACCTGTCTCGAATTTTATTGTTTCCCAAAAACTGGTCTGCAACTTCTTCAATACCTCCCATCACGTGATCTATAACCTAAACAAAAAGGAAGTGAAAATTTTATGAAAAACAAATTAAAAAGTAAAGTTATATTTTTGTGAAAATTAGTCACATTAGAAATATGGTTTTTGATGCGATTAGGTTCTAAATTTTTCAGTAAAGTATAAGCATAATGAGACCAAAGCTATTAGCAAAATTATGAAAAATGCCTGCTATTAACAAAATTATGAAAAATATGAATAGCAATAATTGAGACCAAAGTTATATCCCTGCTATTAGCAAAATTATGAAAAATAGAATAGCAATAATTATTTAAAACTGTAAAGAGCTGAATTTATTCAAAGCTAATTATTTTTCTGATCGAAACAATTGATAAATACACCCCAATATTAACTTAAAAAATGACGAAATTCAGTAATTATTTACCATTAATTTCATTTGCAGTTAGCACGAAGCAGAGTTGCATTTTGTTAACTGTTCCAATACTAAGACTTCAAAATTACAGAATTATTTTCAGTAACTTTAGCAATCTTTTCGTTTGGAGACGATATTTACTAATACAGTGCAAGTAGTATTTTACTAAGATCGGAGAGTAGGCATGAGAGTGGAAATGAAAAGCATGGTTATACTATGAAGTAGCAGTATAAGCAAAACATTATTGCAGAAACTATTAAACGCTGTAATTATCTCAGTTAAATGTCATAGTTTGGCGAAGTGTGTAATGAATATGTTGTTATATGAATCAATGAAGTACAAACGAGGAGGGGCTAAGGTATGCAGTGCACTGCAGTTACTAATCCGTAAGAACCAACAGTGATTGAAATATTCATGAGAAGCTTGATTACTATTCATTACAGGATAAGTTATAATTTTTTAAGTAATCGAATTAGAACTCAGGATATGTTGTGGACCACTGTATTTCATTTTATACTGCCCTGGTTTTCAAACTAACAGGTGATATATAAAGTTATAAAGTGATTATGTTTGTACAAAGCCATTAAACTTTTGCTGACTAATTATTTATAGTAATTATATGCTGCCGAACGAAAAAAAAAGGTAATTTCCTGAAAGTATTTGTTGGCTAGGCAGATAATGCGTGCAAATCAAATTATACAATAAAAATCATAATCAGTTCTTGCACATCATAAAAGAGAACATATTCGACATTGTGACATCGACAAATATTCGACATCACGCACGTGCACGACATCATGCAACTCACAACATGAAGTTGTAAGATGGAAAGTAGTCCGATGTTGTGAATTATAGCTAAATAATGTCTTTAGATGATGGCCAGACATGGCGAGTTATAGACTCGAAGTGGGTCAAACATGGACGTCTCAACAGAGTTGAATACCCTTTAAATCATGACTTCAGGCATAAAGAATCACTCTTCGAGCATCGTCAACGGTCAGATGTCTTGCTATCAAGGTCGTCCGAGGATGACTGGAACGTCTAAAGATGTTATTTGTCATTGCTAACTTTTAAACATTCAGCTTTGGACCACTTAGCAATTATAGCTATTCGAATAATCCCTAAACTGCCCTTTTTTGGCCCAGAATATCATCTGTGAATTTCTGCGTAATTAACAGAATCTTTGGCCCATAGGTATAAAGCTAGGTGCGGCCGTTTCTCATGTTACCTCCCCAAACAAGTAAATAGTCGTCAAGGAAATAGGTAACTCACACGAATATGCGATAAAAGTTTGAATCCGTTTTCAAGTAAAGGTATGCCCGGAATTTCTATTTAAACTAAACCTGGATTCATCTGTAAACAGTAGTCGGGACAAGGTTTTGATAATCATAAAGAGGATAGCACTTTCATTGCTTTTCATTTGGAAACGCAGAAAGTAAGACGCAACGCAGCTTCTCATCATATAAAACAATGCTTGAATAATGAATATGACTACACATAAGAAGTAATTCTACTTAATTAAATATAAATGGTGTTAAAAGGTTCTAAATGGCATCTTAAAGTTTCTGTTGTGCCAACGGTGACAAAGAACGGTCTTCAAATGCTGTATTTAACCTCTAAGAACCTCGATCAATGCGTAAAACGTTCTTCGCAATTCCTGAAATCACGTTTTGAGGGATAGTCAACTCTTTAAAGGCTTACAAATGTGTTTGACTGGACTCGATTCAAAAGACCATTCGCTATGTTAGCCTTCTTCGAAATGCTGGTCCCTTTAATGGCTATGTGATCGAGACTGCTGAACGCTGGAAGTCCGACCTGGATTCGATCGCAGGCAAATGGAATGATTGCATAATTTGCTTATGTGCTTTTCCCCGTGTGTAAAGTGAATACGAGCCATTTTACCATAGAATGTACTCCCCGAAGACATTTCTCTGGGCAGATATCCCTCATGTGCTTTGCCATCTTTCTAAATGATATCATTCTGACATGATTATCAGAATCTGACTGTTTTCAGTCTTATAGCTCTACGTTTAGCCAATAATGTGCGAGATGTCAATTATGTTTTGCTTTTGTGATTATTGGCATTCACAGTATTTGAAATTCTGTATGCAGAGATAATTTTTGTGTTTAGTAGACTATAATTGCCAAAATTCCTTTATTCAGGATATGTAAAGAAGGTGAAGTAAATCTGAGTTTCTAGTAAGAGGATATGCAGAAAGATGCATTACTGCAAAGCACGCGAGCACTATTCGCTTAGTGGAAGGGATGTCTTCCGGGAAAAAAACTGACTTGTATAATGTTTTTATTCACTAGATGATTGACAGTGGTAAGAGAAACCGGAAAGAAATTAATTACTTTATTTAAGATTTTTCATCAATAACAAATGAATGAAAGCTCTGACTATTGGTAACTTGTTCTAAGTTCGATTCTCGATGAAAGATTTAGCAGCACTTTTTTTGTATGTATGTGTATGTGTGTCTTCTCCACAATCCAGGTTTTTTTCAGGAAATTATTCACGAAGACGTCCTCTTCAGGACAGTAGTTCCCGGATGCTTTACCATAATCAGTTATCCAGCAAAACGTTTTATAATGCTAAGAGCAAAGTAATTACCTTTGTGAGAAATGTTATTCTACCATTAAAATCATAAAATTTGAAATGAAAATGTTCTTATTCTTAACCCTTAAATTGACAGATTTGCGCATATCAACGATTAAGTGCCCAAAATGCGTAAATTACAAACTTAGGTGTTTCAGTTAAAAATAGCTTTTCACCACTCTGTTTTCTAAGTTACAGTATAATTAGTCAAAGAACTGTAACTATGATTAATAGAAGGTATTACAGTTACATGAATATTAGACAAATGAGAGGCAGTGCATACTCAAAACAATTTACCGACAACTCTGAACAGTTACTATTCTATAGTTAACGTTTTTTATACGCATCCGCTGACTATGGGAAATGATATTGTGCAAAATGTATTAAATTTTCCTGTTTGTACAGACAACAAAAAGGTGACTGTGCGATCCCTCAGAAATGGTAGCAGATTGTGTTAAATTACAGCGAGCTGTTGTATGTTCAGTCACGAGTTTAACGAGTTTGTGAGTTTCACACCAATTTTTAAGAGTCCTTTTCTAGTTTTTGAAGTAGTGATTTTTAGTTTGTGTGCCTTTTTATTTTTTTTTTCTTTTTCGGATTTATCTTTTTAAAAACATGTTCATCATTTGGTACCTGCATGGGTGTCCGACGAAAACATTGCGGAGAAAATAACGCAAGGCGGAAACGCCGACGAATAAAACATTTTGGGAAAAAGGAAAGCAAGGCGAAAACATTGAAGTTCGACAACATCGTGGCACAAAACTTCATCTTCGAAAATAAAGCGGCTCAAAAACGTCGCAGCTTTAAAACATCGCCATCAAAAATATCTTTGTAAAAAACAAAGCATCTATAAATCATCTCATGACGAAATCATCGCAGACATGAGTTTTCAGGCTTTAAAAATTCGCATATTAGCATAATGATTTGTGAGGGCAAGAAGGAATGAGGAGTATTTTTATTTTTATATTTCATAGTTTTGAATTAACTACTAAATGTTTGATGAAAAAAGAAGGAAATTTAAGGATTCAAAAATTTAAAATAAGTAAAATAATAATGCTAGGTATAATAATTAATAGAATTTAAAATTTATATAGTTAACTAATAAAGGTCATTAATTAATTAGTCGCTTTCATAAAGCTTTATCGGTAACTTCTCATGAAAAGTATAGTCTAAAAAGATTAGAAAAAGAAAGATGAGCAACTGCATGTGGTTACTTTTATTAAAATTATTTAATTAGTTATGGAATTTTGAAATTTTGTTAACTGCTATAATTAGCATTAATTTTATACTTATTTTTAAGATTTAAAATGCTTAAGTTTCCTTTTTAATTTTTCAGCAATAATTTATTAGTTAATTGAAAAATATAAAAGTAAAAATATTTCTTATTCTTCCTTGCTGTCGCAAATCATTATGCTAATATGCATTTTCAACATTTAATGCCTGAGAAACATACGTCTGTGATGCTATCGGCGTGTGATGATTTATACGTGCTTCCTTTTTTAGCACGATGTTTTTTACGACGATGTTTTAAAACTTGGGATGATTTTGAATCTCTTTATTTTCGACGATGATTACCATGATGATTTAGAACTACGATATTTTCTCCTTGTTTTCTTTTCTTCCACGATATTTTATACGACAACGTTTTCGCCTTGCGTTGTTTTCTTCGCGACCCTTTCGTCCTCAATGTTTTCGTCCGCGATGATTTTCTTCTGCAGCCATCTGCATGAACTTGGTATCTTACATGTAAATAGTGCGACAATAGCGATCGGAGAATAATGTTGTTTGCTTTTGAAAAATTCGTAATAAAAGCCCAGATAAAATTGTGTTGTGTTCAGTTAAAAGACTGCGTAAAATGTTATTATTCCCTTCTTTACATATGCAGTAATCAATTAATATGATTTTGCACGTTAAGAAAGAAATCTGATAGCCACTCTTCTCCATTATTTTGTTTTGAATTCCACAATACCTTCGAAATCGAATGAAAAGAAAAATATATCCCTGCCATTGAAGAAATACTGTATCGAAGTTAATAGCAGACAAGTACTGTTGTTTTTAAACGCCAGTTTAGTTGTGAGGATTAACGTATTTTATTTTCAAATTCTGTTAACTTCGCAATAGCTGTTAATGAATGGTAAAACTGAATTTTCATTTCAGTAATTTGATTAGAAACGAGAGTGAATGCGTTAAGAAACATCCAGATCCTTTCTCGTTAAGAGAGTAAATTATTCTCAGCTTGATTATATGACCTAATTTTATTGAAAATATACCATACAGTTGACGCTAATTGAGAACGAACATGAGCTAGTTTTCAGTTCCTTCTTTGATTTTGATACTGGATGAACTTAGAAGCCTGCAAAATTTTGAAAAAGCGACCGCCAGCTACAGTAAACTGCATGACAAGATGCGAAGTACTATTCATGCATCTTCCCCCCCGTCTTGTTTTTCTGTGGGTAAAATTACAAGCTCATTCAAATGTTTAAACATGAAATAAAATTTTAAGCAATCGACTTTTATAAACTTTGATAGCCTTTATCTTCTAATATATCTCATATATGCTTTCTCACACTTGCGTTTTTTTTAACCGATAGCTGAATTATGATTGCTTGTATTATTCATCGCATTCCCCATCTCGATTTCCCTTATTGCGCATTAGGTGATGGTTTAATGAATCATGTTATTTAATCCATCAGCAAATATACTCTAAGGCAGCAATTCTCAAAGCGGTGGTACGCAAAGAAACAAAGTATTTTTGGCTATTAAATTCAAAAATTAAATACCCCGACATCCTGTTTAAGTTTTTTTCTTTAACGCTAGTAAATTTATGCGGTCTGAGGCTTGTTCAAGGTCAATAGCCAGTCATAGACTTTAGCAAAATAATACGTTTTTAATTTCACAAATACTCTTTTACACATAGACATAACAAAATTTGTCATAAATGACGTTTTTAAAAGGAGTAATAGAAAGGAATGTTGTATTTAATAAAAAATAAAAAGTTCCAATAAAAAGATAATAGCATCTCGTTAATTCATTTAGAGTTGATCGATTTATTAGCATGTCTACACTTTATTTCGCCACCATTTCCGGGCTCATACTGTTCTATTTTCAACTAGAATAATTTTTTACGACGATATGCTGTCCCCAACAGCAGGTATTTTGTCTTTTTGTTGCTTTGCATTCCTTACTTTTCTACGCTATTTGAGAATATTACCGTTTGTTTTTGAAGAATTCGTAGTATATTGTGCATTTAAATATTTGCATGAAATGAAAAATTCCATAAAAGAGACACTTACTCAAAAATAAAACACAGTGAGTATTTCACATTGCAGTTGGATGAAAGTACTGATATAACGAACTTTGTTCAATTATTAGTTTATATACATTTAGAAGAAGATAAATGAATTGCCAAAGAATATTTATTTTGTGAATCTCTTCATGATAAAGCAACCCAAATGAAACTTCGAAAGTAATTGACAATTTTATGTCTGAAAACAATTCTCTGGAATAAATACATTGCCATATGCAGCGACGGAGCTCGAGTTTTAACAGGAAAACATTCAGGTGTTATTTATCAAATAAAGAAAGTCGCACCTGAAAATAAATTTACTCACTGCTTCATTCATCGTGAAGCTTTAGTAGCTGAAACAATCCTCGAAAACATGAAAATCATTTTGAATCAAGCTGTGAAAACTGTTCATGCTATTAAAAGCCGAGCTTTAAATCCAAGAATATGTACGATTTTATGGCAAAAGATGGGCAGCGAACATGAAACGCTTTTGTTACTTTCCAAAGTAAAAAAAATGTCCAGAGACAAAGTTTAAAATCGTTTTTTTGAACTTCGATCTGAAATTCAAATTTTTCTCCGTGATTCAAAATTTGAATTGCAAAATTGTTTATTTAGTGAATTATGGGTGGAGCGTTTAGCATATTTAGCCGATATTTTCGGAATGTTAAATGAATTAAATTTAAGATAAATTGCTGAAATTTGTTTACCATTGGAGATAATGCAATGATAAAAAGAAACTCGAGTATCACAGTATTGGATAATAATATTTTAAGCTTTTTACCGCTTTTAGAGAGTTTTCGAACCAAAAATTATTTGTAAATAAGAGGAGAATTAGCATCCAACATTAAAAGTCGTTGTGTTTCATTGATAAATAATTTTAACATGTATTTTCAACGAGATTATGAAAATTAAAATTGGATTAGAAATCCATTTGTTCAAATGTATCTGAAATTTTATCTGAAAACGTGAAGAAAAAAAACAACTGATAGAAATTTCCTGTGATCGAACTCTAACTGAAGATTTAAAAAATAACACACTTCTTAACGTTCGGCTGAACCGAAGAAAAGAATTTAAAGTATTTCAAATAAAGCTATTAAATTTTTATTGCCCTTTCTGCGTAACCTATTTGTGCGTACAAGGATTTTCGTCTATGGTATATTTGAAAAATAAATACGGAACAAATATAAAAGTGGACCTTAGTTTACGGTTAAAACTAAGTGAAATAGGACAAGACATAAAGAAATTCATCTCTTTTAAACAAGCCCAAATTTCGCTTTAAATTTCAGAATTAAAGTAACGTAACTTAAATAAATTTTGATAATTAAAATGGTAACCAATTTTTAATCTAATATTTTTGTGTGTGCATACTTAATACAAATAGTCGATAGTTTATGCACATGGTAATATATATATATATATATATTTCTAATATTTCTATTGAGAAACTGAAAATAATCATTGTGAAAATTAGATGTGGCACTAATGTTCTTTAGATGGTATGATTTAGTCAAAAGATCGAGAATCGCTGCTCTAAGCGAAATCAAACTTTACCCCTGTGTAATAAAACTCATTGCTAGGCGATGTGCCAGCAAATTATTCTCTACTAAGATACATAATATATAGACTTAAAAACATCATTTATTAGCTTCATTAACGTGGAAAATGCTTATAAACATTATCCGATAATTACATGATAAGCTATATCAATTAAGTATTTATAACGTTTATGAAATAAATGTATTTGAATGACACCAGTTAAATTCATCATTCAAAATAAAGTCTTAACTTATTAAGAAATACATCTACTGTCTTCAAATATTTCAAGTTCTGAAATAATGTGCAATTTCAATTGAAAAAATAAACTAAAGAATTTAAGCCATGTGGTGGGATATGGCGTGAAAAACGCTACCAATTTACCAAGAAAATTTAAAATGATAAACTGAAGATCTGCTTTACGCAAAATGATAACATCCTTGCATATAATGCAACGCAATGTAATAAGTGAAAAGAATAAGCTATACATGTTTCTACTGTTTTCATTAAAAAAAAATAAAAAAAACTTTTCTTGATCAAATTGAAAGAGAAAAAATCCCATTTAAGACTTAAAAAGCAAAAACAGCAAATTTATTTCAGCACAGACTTTGAATAAAAGTCTATAGATTTCTTGGGTGACCAGACAGAGTTCTCTCTTCTTCAAGAGCAAAAGATTCTGCAAAATAGGAGAAACGACGGCAGTATTTACATCGAAAGTAATGAGCGGAGGAAACGAACGCGAACGTCGCACCATCAGTAGCGAAAAAACAGTAGCGAAACAAGGAAATTTAAGATATTTAGAATTATAAAAGCAATAGAAAGTTTATTCATAAAACTTCTTCATTTGCGAATTGGATTCCCTTGAAGCTTTTCACAATCATAAAAATTAATTTTTTTCAGTTATTATTAATTCACATCCAGTCCTTCGTAAGGCTTCGTAAGAATTTTAATATCTTAATTCTTCATATTTCATTACTCTTTTCGTTGACTGATCGCGCTATATTTCTGTTCACTTTGCTCCACCCAATGCTTTTGATATAAAGACATTCGTTGCTCTTCTAGCTTCGCTTCTTCTGAAAAGACTTTGTTCTCTGTGGCCCATGGGCCCTCTTTCCTTCCTTACTCCGATTTACCGACTGGGACTTAGTTGAAAATTTTTAATCTGACTGCCTGACTGACTGTCAGTAAATATAGCTTATCAAAGCCTGCATGGCTACATAAGCATATTGCATTTAAGCACGCATCTAAGCTTCGCAGATTGAGGTTTCTTTGAAGACCTGCATCTGATTCCCTTGAAAATCTTCTTAGTTCCGTGCAAAATTTACGTTAAAATAACGTTGCTGTTTTGTCCAAATCAAACTTCTTCTAATTTTAAAATCTCCTTTTCTTTTTAAACTTATACTTCGTTGAGTTAAAGTATTAAAACTTGTTTTTAAATGAAAAGTTGCATTCTTTAGTTAAGTTTTCTTATTCGAATACTAGAAAAAAATCAGAATTACTTACCGTGATATGCAGTCTTTCATTCATGGAAATCTCCCTGTCGCTCTTTTGTGGCACTTTTAAGATTCTAACAAAAAATTTTATCGTCATACCCTGTAATAGAAAAGTTGCAAAATAAAATAAAACAACTCTAAATGTAGATTCATGCAATTAGAAAAGAGAGATTTGTGTTACGATTCAGCAAATGTTTATTTGATTTGAATTAATATATATATAGTAAAAAAATCGAATAACATAATCTAAGCTAATTCACAGCATATGAACCCGGTTTTAAATTTATTCGATCAGCGTGTTGGATTAAAGGATGAAAAAGACTCAGTAATCAAATTTATACTGTTACGGATTTTGTATTTAAATAGCTAATATTAGCTGAAATATATATTAAATTATATTATTTCCGTGCAGTGCAGCGCGTGACGAATATTAAAAGGAAAGCTAAGCCGGAAAATTAAAAACACAAGAGCACGTGCATTTAACATTTAATAAATAAATATATCTTTTTGATTTCGAGAAAACTCCAGAAATTTCTCGCGCGCGATTTAAAACCTTATAAAAGGAAGAAAAACCTCTCAATTCAGTCAGTCAGTCAGTTAGTTAGTCAGTCAGTTTGTTGTTGTTTTAAGAGTTTGTTTAGAAAACTGCTCTTGTTGACTGTAGCGAATTCGCGGATTAGCTTTCTTTAGCTGTTTTTAATTAAGTTCTCTTGAACGTTTGAGTAGTTAAAAGATAACTACTGTGAGATATCGTAATACTGCACGAATATCTGAGGAGATTTAAGCATTTTTGTTGTGATAATAATAAAGTTTTGTTCATTTTTCATCGGACTTGTGCATTCAATTCAAACGAACCCGTGCGCACGCAACAATACGTTATAAAAGCAATGCCCAATCATCAAAATTCGTTCTGTTCGGTAAAACCTCATTCCCATCTTGCACACTAAATGAACGGTTTCTAAAGAACTGATATTTTAAGTGACATATTATTTACAACAATACAGAGGTGTCATTCATTGAATAAACTTGTCATTAATATTCATTATGAATTTTCACAAATTTTGAATATTTAATATGCGCGACTTTTGGATTACTCGGTAGCTTCATGCTTAAAAAATGTTTAGTACAGTTACTTGCTTTAATAACTGTTATAAGGTATTTCTACCACTTTTCTAGCGTCCTTCGTGGTGTAACGGTAGTACGGTGGGCCGGTATTCCAGACATCCGTGGTTCGATTCCCGGGGAAGGCTGTTGCTAATTTTTCATCTCTCTGGCTTCCAAAAAATCCTAATGTCTCTACACTGTGTTTCTATTTTTCGTTTCATCACGCATTTTTTTTTCAGGAAATTGTAAATATACGATTCTGTGATCATGCTATAGTATATACATGGCTTATTTTTACATGAAAAGCTTGTGAGCGGATCCGTGTTTCTCTCAACCTCGTATTAATAAAATTCATTTGGATACTCTAAGTTCGTAAGAGACAATCGCAACCTTTTCTTTTACGGAATCTTCTCTTGCATCCAAATATTATCTCGATTTCTAATATAATATCCATTGAAAAGCTGTCTGATATTCTCTAATTAACTAAAGAGCAATTGATCGAGAATTTTCATCATACTGCTTTAAGAACAGAAAGTTTGCTGAAATATATCTTTAATGGGAAATTTTCTAGCTGTGTTTTAGCAACTTCTAGAAATTTTGATATAGAAGGGGATTTGTTTGATTTCTTTCGAGTTAGGTATCATTATATTTTTCACGATAGATGATATTGACATTTCAAGGATTATCCGGCTTGTTTTACAGGAAATGACATCTGCTTCCTGCCTTTTTATCGTATACCCGAAATCAGTAATAACTTCGTGGTGTCTAAGTGGATTAAGCTTGCTTTTCGAAGTCTTTCCACTTGTGGAAAGACTTAAGTTTAAGGGTACCCAAGTGGGCACTGGGCAAGAGGATTATCATGTTATTTTTCGCTTTCGTAATCATTACGCCGAGTATGGGTTAATGCTGTTTTTCGATGATTAGTAATTATAAATATTTGCTTTTTATCTTGAGCAATGAGCCTTAAAGTAAAAGCTGTGTGCTGTCTGCGAAGTATTGATGTTATTTATAAAGTGGTAATCGAAGCGAAAACAATTAAAACATAAACTCGATTGCACGAACTTTAAGTGGAAATTTCGAAACTAAATATTGAAAATACAAAAAGATAAAAAAAAACATGATTTTGAGTTGTATCAATGAAATTTGATCTATTTAAAATGGAGGACGAAGACTGTTCTTAAATTAGAAATATAATCCTGGACTTATAAGCTAAAATATTTTACGTAAATGGTTAAAAAAGAATTTTTCTTGAAGTAATTCATGTGTAACCCCATGATTTCAGGAAGCTTAATTCGTGCTAAATATTTCTATGCAGGTTTTTAGACGAGTGTAATAAAACTGTCTTTTCGCAGCTACATCAACAATTTAGTGTAAATAAATTTTATAGCGATGACGAAATCAGCCATTCTTTGTTCTTCCTACGATAACTTCGGGAATGGAATTTACCAAATGTGCCGCAGAAATATTACGAAAGAATCACTCATCTTACTTATTATTCCTTAACGTATCAGAAAATGACAAAGAAACGGTTTTAACATTGACAAATTTTCAAAATGTTAATTATTCAGAAATGTAAAAATGTGAGCAACTATTATATTAACAATAGAGAAAAATGCTAATAAAAACACGTTATTTTATAGAGTCACAGCTTTACTCATAACAGTGAGTGAACTATTATGTGAACAACAAAGAGGAAGATGTTAATAAAAGGGCATCATTTAATTGAATTTGTGGAGCATTTTAATTAACCCATTATATTATGATTTTAATTTTACTAAAACTTACACTTTCTGTTAGCTCTCGCGATGATATAAATAAGATGCATGTGTATAAGAATAGAGTTCTTGAAATTAAGGGTCAGCTTTGGCAGCGACGCTAACCGTTGTGATATTTTCTCGCCCAAATCTGAGACTTGGGTTATTCGGCGTTATTCTTTTTTCTAGCGGAATCACTTACGCGTTTAGCTAGAACTGAGTCAACGCTTGTTAGGCTTTCGCACTGTGAATATCCAGCATTAGTTTTGCTTTGAATTTTGATTCGTATTCTGTCAGTGGTCTCAAACTCAAATAGCTTGCAGGCCGAATGCACGATCTGAAAGCAGCTGATGGACCAGAAAATTTTTCAACAACATTTAAAGTTTTTAATTTCACTCACTAAATATTTATCAGAACATGCATAAATCATAATAGTAATAAAGCAAAAGAAAAATTTGAATTTGTATTTATTTCCTAGCTGTTGTTGTAGCAATTTCAAAACTCTTTTATTTTCTTGCATTTAGTCTTTTGTATTACTTTGTTTGTACTGTACTTAAGTGGCAACACTATCTGAATGGTTTACGTGCTGACGTTTGTAAAAGTTATGATTCTACGAGTTTACTAATATTAGATTTCTGAAGCATATTTTAAGAAGCTGAATTCTTTATGAATTTCAACACTGGCGTTCACGAGAAGGATTTTTTAAAATCATTTTACGATGAATGGAGCCGAGAAAGAATTAGAAGCAGGTAAATTAAAAGCGGAACGAACTTATCTACAACATTCGCTTACTAGTGCATGAAAGAAATTTAAAGATTTTGTTTCTATGCCGGATACGATAAGAATTTGAATATCTTATGCAAAAAAATTGTTGATAAATTAGACGGGTTTATTTAAAGTGTACATTGATCTATCGTTATTGATTGATTATAATGAAATAGAATTTAGATGTGCTGAAGCGTACATTGATGAATTTACTGAAATGAAAACTAACTACACCAAGTTCGCCAAAGCTAATGATACGCATATTTCTAACGGTAATGGTAATTTCACGTTACCGAAATTGGATATAGTTTCGTGAAACTGGGTCTTATTTTGGGGACAATTCTCACTTATTCATGAAGATAAGCGCATACGAGAAGAAGTTATTTGTATCAGTATCTCCTGTCTTCTTCAAAATTAAAATTCAAAACTATGCATATTGTGGAAAATTAATCATTGTCTAAAGATTAAACATTAAAGTTCTCGAATATATTAAATCAAGATTTGGAAGTGAAGACATACTAACTGAAGTATATCATAGAGATCTTTTAGAACTTGTCAGTAACAAGACAAACATGAAATTAAGCATCACTGAACGATAAATTATGTATGCGCAACTTAACATCATTAGAGACATCAGGCGTTATGACAAAAAATTATGCCGATGTTATATTCAGCTGTAGAACCGTATTTACCAATGAAATTTTGAAAGGTTAGAATAGATATCGTTTAAATCCCGAACCAGATACTGATATCGCCCGATTTCTGAACCAAAATGTGTTGGAAGAACTGATGACTTTTCTCAGTAGTGAGGTTTAAGTTGAAGAACTGAATCTACTGAATCTTTGAACAGGAAGCCATACTTACAACTAAGAAAAATCGGTGCAATACTAAAACAAAATTTCGATAAATAAATAAAATAAAATAAATTAAATACTAAATTAATACATAAATGCATGAATTTTGAAATTTATGCACACATTGGTGCATAGTCTTAGTATATTATTACATTATTTACACTACGTACTATGACTTACGGATCCAAACTACGGTGTCATTCACCCGGCTTAGAACAGTGTAAGATCGTCCCAGGGTGAGTGTAGTTTAGCAGAAAGTCCTTTCTGTCGAATCGGGTTCCATAATCACGCCTTTTCACAGTCGTTGAATCGCAGTCCTGTAGCTCTCCTGTCCTATCGGATCTTCATCATCTCCGTCGCCAAGTTAACTCGCTCTCCTGCAAAATTATGCATCACTTTAAGCCGTACCCAGAGGTTCTGAATGTACTCCTCATGCTGTGAAGGTGCATCCGGAGAGCGATTACAGAATAGATAACAAGGCAGACGAAGGTCACGACCGAAGACCACCTAGGATGGGGAATAGCGCCGATAATCTCATGGAAAACATTGCGATAGGCCAGTAAAAACAGACAGACGTATTCTCTGGTACAAGCCCTGTTAGTTTCTTCAAACCATCAGCAAGA